TTTGAGTAAAGATGTCTTTTTTTATTTATACTTTTTGATTCTATATTCATATTTGAATTTTTCAAAGCAATAATTCGAAACCGAATTTGTAGGAGAAAAAGATTTAGAATCGTAGATGCAAATTTTTCTCTTTTGATTAGCGGGAGTTTCCTGAAAACGTTTTTCACTATTACATGTATAGAAATGGTAATGTAAAATCTCTTTAATACTACCATCTATTATGTATATTCTCAAAAACATCTATCCTAACATTCTTTTCTCTTTTCATTCCAAAGACAGTAAATCGATACTAATTAATAAATAACTGGGAATATTTCTGAAAAATCTGATGATTTAAATAAAAGAAATGAATTTTTTTTTGCAATATTATTATTATTGAGAAATAGAATTTCTTCTTCCTCGAATACTTCAGAGATATAGATGTTTATGCTAAGCAAATTATTGTTTTTCTTTTCTTGTTTTTCTATTTTACTTTTTTTCTATTTCTATTTTTACTTTCATTCATTCCGTACTTCAACCGATTTTGAAAACGGTGAGCGAATGACTTATTTCAACTGCAGTTTTCACAAGAACTTCCATTCGAAATGATCACGATACTACTCTCAGGATGAACAACACCAGGTGGAATCTATCAGAACTCGCTCAGCGTTATTTGAGTACCAGTTCTGTAGGTGTAGTGTAGTATCCTGCTTCAACGTTAGTCTCGTCATCTCTTAAATATTTGTCCATTCAGAATTTCAAGTATCGTTTTAGTGAACTGGTTCGAGTGCTACAAAAGACACTTCGTCTTCGACGTCCTTGTGTCTGTGTCGAAGATCCCGACAATCAACAGCTTTTATTTACTGTTCCATTGATTACCACATTAAAGCTTTCTTTTAGCGGCTCACCCAAGGAGGAAACGACTTCCTAAATGGGTGCACACACTTAGAAGTGACAGTCACTTTAAGTGCATTATGAGAGAGCTGAAAAACTCGACTTTTTTTCGCCAGACCGACTGAGCTGAAATTTTGGGTAGTGAATAACGACTACTAGTTAAACAATTTCGGAAAGTTTCATCAATGACGTCTCAACGTTGCAAAGATAATTATTTTTATAAAAGGCGCTAAGTGAGTGGCGTTTATTCTCGTTGAATCTAGCGCTGTTGAAAAAAAGCGATTGTTTCAAAGGAACGACAACGTCTGTCCGAATTCTTCATAATTTAAAGCTGTTTTAAAACATGTTTCCCGAGTTTTCTAGGTTTTCCGCACAACTACAGTTCTCTTCTGTTGCTTGGTTACAGAACAGAAAGCTGATCAAATGACAATTCTAGAGCATAAAGCAAAGAAAAAAAGAAAATATAGTTGAACTACACGTGATTTACGAGGATTCGAGAAACTGGGATCGGGCGAAAACAGGATTGTGTCGTTTCGTTGACTTCATTTAGGAGGGAATAATGAAAATGCTCCTGGCTACAACAGACGAAAATGTTCTATAACCTGCGATGCAAAAATAAGTGCTGAAATCTCCAGCCATGGTACTCCAGTCAGGAACATCACAGAAAGTTCATTCGTTTTCTGATGGAAAGAGCAAAGCCTGAACTTCAAAAAACATACGGAACAAAATTTTTGGAATTGGCTTTGAGGAAGAAAAAAGTACCATACCAAATGTCGTTGAAAAAGCTCTTGCAACGTACTTGTTTTCGTTAATTTTTACTAGAGCGTGAAGACAAATATTTTCTTGAAAACCAGATAGATGAAAAAGTAGCCCAATGAAAAACTCTATCAACTTCCCTACTTTAGGAAGTTTCTCAGTAATTCTTTAACAGTACATAAAGCACATTTTAAGTCTTAGCTTTGATAGAAAGCACTACTTTGCATGGAAAAGGTGGGACATAGAGAAAAATTCGTTATTCGGAGCTTTAAACATGTTAGTAAAGGTTAAAACTAATGTGAATTTGTAGAAAATTGCATATTGTTCCAGAAAATGTGTTTTAGAAAAGGAGCAAAATTCGTCTTTGAAAATTTAAAAATTCGATTTCAGATTTTTTTAAATAATGTTGGTTTCGGTTCGGTTTATATTTGAAAAAAAACCCAAGCTCATCTCTGCTATATACTTAGAAAACGTACAGCTGTACTTATCATCGTGACTGCTTACTTATATGTTATAATAAGATCTTATCTGTAACTGAAAAGAGAGGTGCCATACTAAATATTGGTTCAGTTTATTTCAACTACACGTCTGTCCGTTACTGTTTTACACTCCGCTCCTGTTTCACCCATCAATTCAATCATACTATTTCAACTCTTCCTCTACGGAGAACACACGCATTATATATGTGCTAAAGAGAGAGAGAACACGACACGCTCGTGAGAGGATGAGCAAATTGAGCAAGTGAGAGTCATAATCATCATTGTGTCATACGAAAGAATATAAACCGTACAATACGAATGAACATAAATCGCGCAACACGAGGCATGAACGAGCTCGTCACACAAGCGTGATGTGCTTCTCGGCACATTATCTTCTTTAAATATCTTTTACCTATTAGAAGAGTAAAGCAAAACCTTTTCATGACAAATGTTCTCAGAAAGAAAAGGTATACGCTTTATTATCAATGAGGGAAGAAGAAAATGATGACATCAGTTGGGTTTTTATCAATTTCTTCACATAATAATTGGAGAAAATCTTTTTCGCTGTTGAAACATCACTTGATGATTCATACTTTTGGTTAGAAATATATTTCTCTGTGAATAGACCAGATAAGATGCAAAACAAAAGCGACTATAATTTTTCTTTCGTTATATATTTTCTTCGCATTTCAATTCAAAGTCGTGAAAGTTATAAGGGAACAGATCAGATGTACAAAATCAAACAAAACATACTTAAGGAGAACATCGTTAATTTGTCTTTATTTCATAAAAACGAAATCTAAATGAAGCTACCACAATACAGTCCGTCACCACGATCGTGGTAACCATTCTATCAGTCGTTTTATACAAATCAATAAAAGGCACGATACAGAAGGCGCCCATATACGTGAACGACCATTAGATAGATTACTGATTGTTCTTCTCCGTTTGTATTCGATACTAGTCCACTAAAGATGTCATTTGTCTCGAAGATAATCAATGTAAGGTGTAATCGAATACCAGACTGTTTACATGTAGACGATGAGTATTGGTATGCTTTAAACTCATTCTGTAATCAACTTTTTTACCACGTCGACAAAAAAGAGGTCTCATTGCAAAATTCGCGAACTACTTTCTTTTCACCATTTCCTCTTGAACCATAACACCTTTCGGGCCGCGGTCATTACATAAAAAAGAAAACGTTCTTTTTTCTGAATTACCACCATAAAAAGAGTTAACCAAAAGAGCTTTTTCGGATATAGGCAAATTCCGACTCGTGAGTCACATATGAAGAAAATACAACGAAAGGAAAAAGGATAGTCGACAGGGGCTGGCCAATACAAGGACTTATTCAGACAGTTGGTCTTCAGTCAAATTTCATTTTATTCTTTCTTTCTTCTTTTTTTATCAACCTTAAAACCATTTCTAAGACTGTTTTCTAAAGTTTCAGATAAGACCATTCTCTAAAATAAAATGGTACCTTTACTTGAAGGACTTCTTTCACGGCATTACTGTTAAATGGCAGAATCTTCTATTACTGACTCTTTCTTTTTAGATTCAGTAAGTGTAACGAAGCCTAAAAACTGTTCAGTAAGAGAAGGCTACACTAAAAATCAACGCTGAGGACAAAAGGAAGGTTTTATATGGCAGCATTTTTTAGGGTAATACCATTTGTAACGTTCCTGCTTTGTTCTATTTCTCCGCTGATGGCGCAGGAAAGCTTCTGTAAGAGTACGACTTTAAGAGTGCGACTTCGGTATGTGGTTGGCGACTGCTGGACGCGTTTTTAAATTCTGACTTCGTTTTACTTCAGATTATAGAATGGGAGAAAAACTGGAACTTCGCAACCGGAACGAAGTTGCATCATCCAGAAACAGAATAGAAAACAGAGCTCCTCAGCGATTGTGTCGAAATAAACTTTTATATATAACGATATCGGTGTTCGTTCTTATCGTGTTTGGAATTAGTATTTATTTATTCGTGCACATAACAAAGAATGACGATGCTTCATTTCGTTCAAGTAAGGTTTGAAACACAAGAAGTTAAGAAAGAGAACATTTTTTGTAACTTTAAGCAGATTCAAACGTAACCACCAGAACTTCCATGATTACTACGTCGTCACAACGAACTACAACGGTTTTTAATAGCTATACCACCGTGATAGCAGTTGATGACCTGACTAGTTTACATACAGATCTAAATACTACCACCCCCACCACGTTGACAATCCAAAGCACTGCAGGTAAAAATCTGATTTTACTTCTAGAGGATCTTCATAAAACTACCATCATTTGTTTTCTTTAGTTATAATAACGACTTTATTATCTACCACGACTGCAAGCACACTATCTCCTTCTTCCCCACTACCGCCTTTGGCATCCCAAACTACAATTGCTACAACTGGCACCATCACCACTACAACAACTACTCTAACCACAAGCTCAGCATCAGAATGTGTCTCAACTATATGGAATCCATATGGACAGACAGTTGCTGGTCAACAAAATGGAGCCGGCGGCAGTTATCTGAATCAGTTAAGTTCCCCTTCCGACATATTTTTAGACAATAATGATAACAGCGTTTATGTGGCCGATTACGATAATAACCGCATAGTTAAATGGTTAGCCAATGCATTTTCTGGTGAACTTCTTTTCAGTCATTCTATACTTCCATTGGCTCTGTCTGTTGATCGATCAAATCAAAACGTTTTTTATTCGGACTCAACTACGAATAGCATTCATAAATGGGACAAGACTACAAACTTGACTTCAATAGTCATTCGTGACGGACATTTTACTAAATGTTATGGTTTATTTATTAACGGTGAATACTTATATGTGTCGGATCGTGGTGGCCAACGAGTTTTACGTTATACAATGGAAAATTTAACATCTGCTCTGCCAACTGTAGTAGCAGGGAGCGGAGAACAAGGAGTTGAAGATAATGAGTTAAACTTCCCGGAAGGAATTTTTGTAGATAAGGATGGAACTGTATATGTGGCGGATAAGGAAAATAACAGGATCCAAAAATGGACGAAAGGAGCAATGACAGGAGTTACAGTTGCCGGTGGTCTACGTCCAGGACCAGGACTGAAGGAGTTAAGAAAGCCAACATCCGTCGTTGTCGACCAACGAGGAAATATTTTTGTTGCAGATGCGGGAAATTCACGCATAGTTCTATGGGCTGAGAATGCTTTAGAAGGAACACTCGTCGTTGGCAATGGTCACGGTCCAGCACCAAATCAGTTAAAATATCCAAAAGGAATTTGGCTTGATTCACAAATGAATTTGTATGTCAGTGATCGAGATAATCACCGTGTACAACGATATAACAATGACAAAAGTGGGTGTTCCAGTGGTATGTACGAGAACAAGGTTTCAGCTTGTTGATAGCATATGTAAATCCTTATTCCTGTTTTAGGTTTGGTTAAGCTATAAAGCATTTCATGTTTAGTTTTTACATCGTTTATTTTGAAATAATACATGTTGATTTTGACAAAAAAGGCTACGCCAGAAACGTAATTATTTAATATAAAATAAGTAACTGCTTTATTGGAAGCGTTTTTTAGTTTATGTTCTTTTTCAGCTTCACATACCAGAGTTATATTTAGATGTACCATCGCCCTCAACAGCAGCTGTGGAAGAGTCCACAAAGGGCTAAATTGATCGCCGTTTTTTTATGATCCTGGCTTTAGCACTTCTCGTAAAAGCTTGCAAGGTGCCGTTCTAGCCTATACGATAACTTAACTGTTAAGAATAAAAAATAGACGCAGATCAAACCTTTTGTCTTTTTTTCTTGATTTTCCGCGGTGTTTGAGTCTTGATTGAAAGTCAATTTCAACTTGAAATGTATGGTGGGGCGTAAACTTACGCTCTTTTTGTTTTTTCTCAAAAAAAACATACCCTTACCATCTAAAAGTGTATGTTGATTCATCAAGAATTCCTTAAATAATTTCATTTTTGCTGGTCAACAAAGATCAATTTTACCTTTCAAAAACCTTATCAGATTCTTACCGGTTTCTTAAATGAGATTCCGCAGGGGAGTTCCATAAGGAAAAAAAGTATAAGAGCCTTATAAGAAAATCGTAAGAGTTTCATAAGAAAGTGAACGCTTATGTAATTCTTATGTGTTTCTGATGAAATTCCTACGTAAAAAAACCTTTTTTTCTGGAAATTGATAGAATTTGTTCCATAAGTTTACCACTATCAGTCCTACGTAAAAAAATTTGATAAAAAAAACAGCGGTCCGTTCAAGGTTCGAACCTAAGACCTATACAGCATGTTGTGTTGTACTCTTACCAACTGAGCTATAACGGACTGAAAACTGAAAAAGAATTTTACATAAAAAGCGAGCTTTCGATGCTTCACAGTATCATCACCAGGCTAATTTTACAAAAGTCTTTTTCAATTATATTAAATATACTTAGTTTTACAAGAAAGTAAAGGTCAAAGAATTTCAATAAAGCTAACGGTCCACTTTTTTCGCTCATTTTCAAAAAATTATTGCAATATATTACTGTTAAAAAGCGATCTTTTCAGCATAGCCAGCGATAGTATTTCTGTTGCTTTTCCCATGAAAAACTATTGATGAAAGTTCAGCCACTGGTGTATTTTGGAATATTTGATCGGTTTTTATGTCATCATCAATCTCCTCTTTGTCGACATTGTCAATATCATATTCGTCAACAACATGTAACTGTATTTATTTTTCGTCATACAAAGTTACATCGTCCACATTACCCTCGTTCATTTTTCCAAGGGTTTTTACAGCTGCATTTAGTTGTTATTTTGCAGCACGGTGTTGTGATGTTTTCCGGATGAATAAAATAAACACAAAATAACTGATAGCTCTTTCTTAATTCTTCGTAGGTGTTTGAATTAAGAACAACAGAACAATACATCATAATCGGTTTGACTTCCTCTTTCTTCAATTTTGATTTATGACAGTATTTTCCAATCTTTCATGATATGCGCGGTGCACGCATGTGGCATTTTTGAACATCAGCATTTGTTCCATATCCTATTTAAGAGGAAAAGCTATCTCGATTACGATCTGAAGGTCTAACAGAAAAGAAATCCAAATTTTCTACCTTCCACAACGTTATTGGAGCAAACGACTACGTTCAACCATGCCGAATACGGCTAGAGACAAAGAAAAATAGTTAGTAAAGCATGAACTAAAAAAGAATTTGAGAAATAAATCAATAGTATTTTAACGAACAACGGGGATATTGTTACGGTTTCTAACAGGATGACAAAAATTATCAAACATTAATAGATACCCGCTAATATTCTATAAGCTCTTTCGTTGAATAACCGAAATGTTTCATTGTTAAAAAAGGCTAGAGCTGTCTAAATGAGCACCTGAGCACGATCGTTTATAACAACCTTGGGAGTTGGGAACGAATCTGCAGAGTTATATTGTTTCAAGTAGAGTTGTTTGAATGTTTCAAGCCAAAGTTTAATAGTAACAGCATCTTGGCTTTCGGATAAAAGAAATGTTGATAGAATAGGGGTCCGCAGACAACTTTTCCGGTGGCGTCCCATGTAAATTCAGCTTTCTCATCAGTAGCGTGCATATCCCATAAGTCTAATCCTGTCGACGTGAGGCAGATAACTGCTAATGGATCGAACTCATGCGTGGAATGATCCCAGCAACAGGACCGTGAGGCATGACTTGTTGACTATGCTTAGTTTTTAAATCGGACAGTCTATTAACACAGTTGTTGACCGAAGCGGGTCCGTTAAATGCTGCAGTTTTCTGATATTGCTACACTTTTTCCAGTGTAGCATCCAGTGTACCATCTAAATTTTCAGCTTTTAAAATATTCCTTGGAATTTGCACTAAACGTTTGTGAAATACTAGAGTTAGATTGTCTCCTTGTTCGAATGCTTCTTTCAATACTTGCCGTTCTGGCTTACGAATATGACGCGCCCATTTATGTTGATGAACACGTCACTGTTCATGTGGATATCAACGATAAACCGAAATGGACAATCCGGATTTTTCATGCCGTAATAGCAAACAGTTCGTAATAAGTGACCAGCAGAATTTCGTTTAGTAGCAGCTGTAAACTTGTTTGTATATGTTTGTAAACTGCAGTACGGGTTGATTGTCTTAGCATATTGTATAACAATCTCTGGTACCGTGAAATCGCGTTTTTTACAGTCCGATGTATCACCGCTCTATTGTTTTGTCTGCTTTTCTTGTACCTTAATAATGTGTCTTTGTTTAATAATTTCTAGATGTTGCTAGATGTGTCTATATTTTCTACAGAAGAACAGACTGATATAGCTGATGATGATCGCCAGTTGTGATCGCAGGCTGTTGTTTTGAAATCAAGCTAAATTATAAAACAATGGCTGTTCAGCTCATACAATTAATCTTTTCATTTGTTCATTTATTATCAACAAACAAAATTAGAATGACAAGAAGCATGTCTGGTACCCATTTCAAAATACAATATGTTTGTAAACTGCAGTACGGGTTGATTGTCTTAGCATATTGTATAACAATCTCTGGTACCGTGAAATCGCGTTTTTTACAGTCCGATGTATCACCGCTCTATTGTTTTGTCTGCTTTTCTTGTACCTTAATAATGTGTCTTTGTTTAATAATTTCTAGATGTTGCTAGATGTGTCTATATTTTCTACAGAAGAACAGACTGATATAGCTGATGATGATCGCCAGTTGTGATCGCAGGCTGTTGTTTTGAAATCAAGCTAAATTATAAAACAATGGCTGTTCAGCTCATACAATTAATCTTTTCATTTGTTCATTTATTATCAACAAACAAAATTAGAATGACAAGAAGCATGTCTGGTACCCATTTCAAAATACAATGGACCTGATTATTTTTCAAATAACTTTTGAACAAAAAGAGATAAGAGAGGTCGCATTTTCACCACTTTGAAGCCAAGGCTTTGACGTATCCTTATATAGGAGAAAAAACAGAAAATCTTTTCTGGAAGTAGTGTTTTCAGGGAATGTTTTATGCTCCTCCGTGTTGCTCTCATTGACATATGTTATAGGAGCTTTCCCCCTTTACGTGAACAGAAGTATTTGAAATATACACTATGCACTGGGATGTAACATTACTTTTGACGCATGATTTTGACGTATAACTTGCAACCTCTTTACCTCGGAGCAAACCTTAATTTGAATCTCTTTTTCAGATGAATATGTGTTCGCGGACGTGTCGATTCACGAAAGAGTTGTCTCCCGTTGTTTATTAACCTCATTCGATCGAGTGTTCAGAATTACTCGTATATTTGTGCTTCAGACTGTAAAACCTCTTTCTGGCGGTGATATGAGTTTTTACGAAAAGCAATATTGCAGAACCCAATGGCTGAAATGAAGCAATTCTCCATTCCTTTTTCCTCTGCCAATAGTTTCATCCTTCTGATCAATTTATTTGAGGATCTTGGAAAATTACGTTGTCGTTTCTTACAGATCGAGTGTGTAGTGACATATAATCCAGAACAACAAACAACATTTTCATGAAAGTTTAACTGAACTGTTTTACTTGACAGTATATTCCACTATTGCATTAAAGTTCTCTTGATTTTTCTGTTGGCGATACACTGTCACTTATTGTTCGTTGGCCACCGTAAGCTGATGCTTTAGAATATTATTTTCATAGCTGTCAGCTGTGTTCCATTTCTTATCTACTAACAATTTGACTGAAGCGGTATTTGGTATCTGATAGTGAAAGAAGACACGTGTCTTTTTTGAGAATACCATATAAAGGTTCCAATATTTGGCTTCTATCACATTCAAATTGTGTATAAATCTTTGGAAACGTAACAGGACATTTTACATGAGTTACATTCAATACGAATTCAACAGCTGCAGAATAGATATTTTTTGCATCATTACTTGGCATAGCATAGATCATTAGTTTGTGTTGCGTGATATTAATGTCAAAACATCATCTGGTAATATCGATAAACACACGTGTGGTTGTTCATTTTAAAAACTAATTAAGTTAAGTACATATAAACGTAAAATCATTCAAAATAATGGCTAAACGAGGAAAGTTACGAAGACTTTGTATGTAAAGAACAATCAAACTGCATTCATCGGCTGTGATTTATATACCAGAATAAAAAAATACGAAAATAAATAAGCAAAGAAAGTTAACAGATGGGAGTTTCAGCCTCCAGTGATAATTTATAAATTGATGATATTCTGCATTTGTTAAAAGAACTTAGCCTTTTTTGCCTTATTGCTTAGTTTTTTCGCATATATGTGTATTCTTATGCAGAAAGAATATAGTTTTATTACGAATAGCCCTATAGGGCTATTTGTAATACATTCTCTATAGAGAATGTACTTGGCACAAGTGCTTCGCTCTATAATGCAGGCGATATTTCGCTTTTTTTCAGAGGTAAATGTACTTGTTCAAGTACTTTACTGACTCAATGCAAGAAAACAAAATCAACTCAACTTTTAATTTTTCAAAATTACTTTGGAATTCTTCAGTGCCTTGTACTGCAGAAAATGTTATGGATTCCTATTCGCAGCGACGCAATATGAAGATACTATCAAAGATATCTATCATGAGTGTGTTCGTTATATATGCAAGAATTTGAAAGAAGAGTATGAACAAAGTATTTATGCATTCAATCGTTGTTTAATGAACGAAAATGCTCTAAATGATAAAGATGTTAAACAATATCAGACGAGTATAGATCATGCTGAGCATTCTGCAAATCTAAGAACTGTACATTTAGGCAACGAGGTTGTTCATAGTAGTGCATTTATTCAAAATTTAAAGGATCAACTTGAAACTATGTTTTCAAATCTAGAAAGTAAAAGCATAGATGATTTATCAGTGAAAGTTAGTTTAGATAAAATAAAGCTTCTTTCAAACTCATTTACAGATATTGATTCTAAATATAAAAAAGCTTGTGAATTATTGGCAAAAAAATTCGACGATTTAGTTGATTCATTTCGACACTCGGTATCGAATCATGAGTTTAACAAATGTGCTGAAGAAATAACAAAATTATCTCAAGCTCTATCCATTCTAGGAGATCATTTAAAGTGTACAGATATGGAGACAAAATATTCACTGTTGACAAAATTTTTCCTTGACTATTTAAGTAATTCTGCTGAAAAACTAAATCCTGTTTTTAAAAAAGAGAAATTAGAAGACAATGATATAACAAACTTAAATAGCTGTGCATGTATGCTAGAATCAGCTAAAAGTACATATACACTTCAACACATATTCCTATAAAGGGAATTAACGAAATTTATGATTCTTTTTTAATTAAGATTGTGAGTTATTTTGAAGAAATTAACAAGAAAATAAATAAGTGCTTTAAAAAAGAAAGAGAGAAAGGACAATTAGTAAAACTAGAACAATTACGATCCCTTGTCGACAAAATGAAAACGTTAAAGTCTACTACTTCAAGTCATAATGCAGCGTATGAAGAGATAGAAAAAGAATTTAACTTAAGTTTGGCTCAACTGAATTTAAGTAGTTCAGAAGAGCTAATTAAAGCAATCGAAGTGAAGAGACAAGAAATATCAAAGTTAGAAAATGAAAGTAAAAGAGTAGGAACAATAGAGAACTCATTTCAAGCAATAGAACAATTAGTAGAGCAAATGGATATGATTAGAAAAATTTCGACTATTGACTCTAAAACTTCTCAGTCTTATCATAGTACATTAGAAAAATTATAGGGTGTCAATTGTTTTGATCACCAAAAAACGGTACTTTTGATCACCAAATTTTTTAGATACAAATGATCACCAAAAAAAGATACTTTTGATCACCAAATTTTCCAGCATCACATTTTTATACATATAAACATATAAATTTTAACAAAGACAATATTTTCACAGTTTTATTTACATTTA